GGAATATTATCAAATTATAGTCAACCTCTTTGCAGCCTTTAAAGCACTGATTTTGCCCTTCATCTTGAAAGATTCTCTTCCCTTGGCCTCCATGACATGCAGCTTCTCTGTTTTCTTTTCAGACCTCTGGCTTCTCCCATTTGGTATGCTTTTTTTCTTCCTCTGATCTTCCCTTAAATATAGATGGCCCACAGCTTTCAGTTCTCTTCTTTTCGTACTTTTTATATTTTTCCCAGGAAGTCTCACTCACCACTACGGAATTGATTAATATCTTTATTCCAGTTTTTTTATTTTTGATTGCTCCCTATATATCCACTATGCCATCTTACCCTAAAGTTACTTCTCCACACGTCAGATGCACAGGATGGAGAGCAGATCCTGCAACTCAGCAAGCATCCAAGTGGGTGGGTGGATGGAAGTGCGGGGGAACATGCTACCTTTCCCGTGAGAAGGGATAGAGGAAAGGAGGATTTTCATTGGTACCCTAAGAAAGCAATCTCTCTTGTGGTCTCTACCCTGTTCTAGACAAAGGAGACTGAAGAGGTTATTCTGTCTGCTGGAAAGTCCCTTGTTGGCAAATCCCACCATGAGGATATCTAGTGTTATTCTTTCCCAGACATGAGCAATCACTACAGTAAACACTCACTGGAGCAAGAAAGGGCCTCAATAGGTACAATGCCTTCATGTTATTCACTAATTTATTTAACAAATATCAAATGTCCTCAAAAATCTTTACAATCAAGTGGGAGGACACATACTAAACCAGTAATTACACAAATCATTATTTAATTATATTCTATTAAATGCTCTGAAGGAAAAATACAGGATATTGAGAGTATATAACAGGAGACCTTGCCTAATCCAGGGCTTCAAGAAAGGCTTCCCTGAGAAAATGTGAGTTAATTGAGAAACAGAGGGTGAATAGGAGTTACTTAAGCAAACTGATGGAAAAAGTGGTCATAAAGCTTGCCCTGAGGCTTGATAAGCTATAAGAATTGAAAGTAGGTCAGTGTGGCTAGAGTTTAATCACTGTAGGGGAGCAGAATTTGCTACCTCAAAACGTGTCTCTTTAGGTTGATTATATTTAAGAACAAAAGACTCAGGAAGAAACTTTTACCTTCCCGCTAACTCCCTAGAAGAATTTAAGATAGAAAGCCTGTTTCAGGAAGAAGCTAATACTATAGATAACTATAGTATAATATGAACTAGGTGTGGTAGAGAGGGAGGAACCTAGCAAGGCCCATGTGATCAAAGTCCTCTCTGTGTCTCATTGTCTCTGAAGGCATGGCAAACATTTGTGTACCAAACATTTACTTTTCCATCTCCATGTGAATTTTCTTCCTTCCCTTTGAAGTAAACCACTATCCCCAACATCCTCCTTTGTCTTTAGCTGAAGGAGTTATTTAAGGTTGTGGCTTTGGCCATTTTGGTGAGTTACTCAATTTTCCTGGGTTTCTCCCACGTATACATATTATTAAACTTGTCTGATTTCCTCCTGTTATTCTGTCTTATGTCAATTTCTTAGAACAGCTGGAAGAACCTAGAAGGGTAGAGGAATATTTCTCCCTCCCCATGCGACCAAGGAGAAGAAAGGCTAAAGAAGGAGTTTTATAGGCATGCTGGGACTAGATCTTGGAGGAGCCTGCTAAGGATGTTGGATCTTATCCTATGAGCAATGGAAAGACATTGAAGGATTTAAATCAAGATTGGCCTTATTTGCACATTAAAAAATGCCGATTTCAGCTTTCTTGTTACCAATACCGAATAAACCATTGCTATTTTAACTCAAGAAAATGCATACCAAATTCCAGGAATACATTGTAGTGTCAGGCCTGACAGTTGGCTTTTCTCTTTTTGTAATGCAAGTGCCTGACTTAAGCTTTGATTGTCCTGACGCATCCACTTCAAACATGGCTATCTCAAACAAACACATTGCCACCCACACAACTAAACAAGAATCCAGGCTGCCTGCCTCCTACTCCCCAAGCTCCTTTGTTTTAGAAATCTTGGTTGATTTCCATAACTGAATTTTTGGCTACTGTTTTTTTCCCCTTCCCATGCTTTAAATTCCTGCTCATATGTTTTAAATTCACCTGAAAAGAGTGAGTCCGCAAAATCGTAGGCCCCTACCTCAACCCCAGTAAAAGCAGAACCCAAGGCCCTCATGCTTGCTCTCTCTCTCTACCTGCAACCTCGCTGTGTGGCCCCCAGTGTGCCATGTAATTTCCAGATCCTGTAAATAATAAATCTTTTTATTTTTCCGAAGTTTCCTGATGGTTATTGCTGAACCACAAGGGGTAGTCCAACCACAGTGTTACCACACAAAAATGGGGTTCTCCTACCTGATGCCCATAAAAAAGCCAATAAATTATGACATCAACTTTTGGGGAAAGAAAACAACTTTATTTGTGAGATCCATCTGCAAGGAGACAGGAGAGATCTCTCTCAGATCTGTCCCCCGATTCAGGATTTGGGGAGAAATTTAAGAAGTTTGGGAGAACAGGCTGGCACACAGAAATGCTGGTGGGACAGGTTTTGATTAGTGGGCTTTAAGCATTTATGGTAAGGTTTTAAACATTTATGATAATGTGGGGAAGGGATTTTAATTCCGGATCTTCCTGGATGACGGACCCCTCACTTCTGATGAGAGTCTGACTTTCAAGTTCCAGTCACGTCCTGTCCTCTGGTTCCAAGGGGAGGAGAATCTTTGGTTCTGTGGTCATTTCAGGTCAAGCTTTCTTCTTCTGCACATGCTCTGGCTACATGACTTTGCAAATTTTCTGAACGACAGTTCTTAATCACTCTGCTGATAAGTGATGGGGCCTGTCTGACCTGCTTCTGATGGGCCCGTGTTTATAACAGCGTTGGTTATTAATAGACTGAGACTGGCACACAAAACATACATTTACTACTGTACTGTTTCTTCTTTCTAGTTATCTAAATCCCACTTGGTTGAATGCAGAGCTCACCATTACATCCTCCACGAAGACTTCTTTGAGCATTTCAGGGCTCAGTGATCTACACCCTTGTGAATTCTTAGAGCCATTGGAGCCACGTAGGCTCCTGCCAGAGCATCAGCTCCAGGAGGGCAGGGATTCCTGTCTGCTATGTTCACTGATTAGTGCCAATCACATCAAACATGGCCTGGCCATAGTTAGTGCTCAGGAAATATTTGTTGAATGAAAGAACATACTGCCCTCAGTGAGGTTTTGGGATTTAGGACTTGTAATATCCTTTTTGAAATGAGTTATATTAATTTATTATGAAGCATACTTTGGCTGAAAAAAAGAGCAAAACAAAGACTCTGGCAAACTTAAACGAATATGTACATTTGTTACTGGCTACAAACACAGGTTCATTTACTCACCACACAAGAGAGTGACCAAAATAAAAACAGGAACGCCAGGCTTACGGCAAGGAAAGAGTTTTGTCAAAAGGCAGCTAGATGAGGAGATGGGAGTGAGTTAGAACTCAGATCCATCTCTCCAAAGGGAAAAAGGTAGGGGTTTTTATTTGAGGTTTTAGGTAGGGAGAGGGAGCTATGACTTTGCAGGTCAGTTCTTGCCCATCCGCCTGCATTTGGCCTTGTGAGGCTGCTTGCAGGGAGGAGAATGGGGAGATAAGAGAATCCACAGGCGAGTGTCCTTGGTTGTCTGCCTCTGTGGTGGAGGGTGGATTGTGGCGCCAGGAAGCCAAGGAGTTGGGGTCTGGGAAGCTTCAGCTTCTTGATACTCTCTGGATATCAGGTTCCCTGTAACAAAACTTCCAAGGACCCATAACTAGCCAAAATATTAGCATGAGGCCACTTTGGCTCTAACAATCTGTAACTTCTATCTGCCTTATGAAGTTCAGGGATACAAAGGTTTAAAAACTGATATTTACATATGAATGTAAGTTGCAGAAATAGGGAAAGAGGATGGGTGCTTTTGGTTTTAACCCCATACATGCTGGGTTTAATGTGGGGGAACTGACATCAGGGCTGGCATACACCCCTTTAAGATATATATGTTTATATCTTCATAAATGTTCTGCTTTACATGTAATTTATATATAATATAGTAACTTATTCACATATGTTAAACATATATTTATATTTATGCAAAGTAGAACTTTTTGAAGATACAAGCTCACAGAATTGAAGGAAATGCTAAATCAGATTCCAAGAAATACAAGACCCAGGGCACATCTGGGGATCTCAGCCACAGAAATCCTCACGTGGGCTTTTTAGGGCCCTGCCTTCTGTGCTTGTGTGACTTGGCTTCAGAATCCCGTTTGTAAAAGGTGGTGATTAGCACAGTTTGGAGTCAATGTATTGCTTGCCTTCCACCCCTTTGAATTTGGGATGAGGGAGGGACAATTCCCAAAAGGAAGAGCAAGGTGCCATTAACAGACACTGGAAAAGCTGACAAGGGGACACCTGCAAAAATAACAGATGTCCAACACATTCACTTTAGCATGATGTAGGGTCTTCCTTTAGTCAAGTGCTATAATAGACAACAAGGCATGGGCACAAATAGGCTGCACTTCAAGAAAACTTAGAACAATAGGGAACTATTATCTGTATTTATGTAAAAGAATAAGTATTTACAATTAATAATTTACTTATAATTTTATATTATTCATATTAAAATGTAGATCAATGTGATGGATTCTAAAAATGGCCACAAATTCCTTCACTCTCTGAACCCATGTCATTGCAGTTGGACTTTACAGATCCTCCCACCAAAAGGTGGAATCTATTTTTCCACCTTTGATTTGGGCATTAGCAAAGGAGACACAAGCAGCTTGACAAGCACTTGTGCGTGGAGCTTGCTCACGCAAACAAGCTCACACAGCTCGTGAGGCCAAGGATGACTGATCACATAGAGAAGAGACAGGCCATGTCGGCTGAGGCCTCCCGGACCAATCCCCAGCCAACCTGAGGAAGACCTGCAGACTCCAACCAGTGGAGCCCAAATCAAATTTCATGAGCCAAACAAATGTTTGTTGCTTTATGGCACTAAGTTTTAGTGTGGTTTTCCATGAAGCCAAATCCATATGATAAAATCAGTAAATTAAAATTTTAGGCATAAGAAGTAAAAAAACAAAAGCAAGTAGAATGAATCAAATTATAACTAGGTGTGCTGTCTCTCTTCTTTGTCTGACCCTGGGAAGTGTGCTTCAAATCAACATGGTATGTGATAGTAAGCAAATTCTAGACTAACCTTGCAATCTCCTTTTATTATTCACTCTCTTAACAAGAACCACAGTATCTTAGATTTCAGGAAGTCTGATTCTTTTCTTTTCACAGTAACTTGCACCTGTTAGGTTCTAGGTTCTGTTGTTGGTTGGTGTGTTTGTTTTGTTTTAATTTACAAAATTAAGAAAAGTAGAGCTGCTCTTCCTCACTGATCTTTAAAAAACAACTCTTGACAGAGCTTCCTCCCGCAATTCTTTCTTGGATGCTTTCCACTGTCTGAAAAATCGGAAAGCAGATTTTCTCTTTCAGCCTCTCCTTTGCCTTTCATGGTGATCATCTCTGATGATACTCTCAGTTGTTCGCAAGGAGGTTCACCGATAAGCACTTCCAGTCCTACTCGTTGTTTATTGTAGCCCGTGGAAAATTCCTTCCCTTTATAATGTCTCAGCTTTCTTCCAGTTGTGAATGAAGGTTAGCAAGACACACAACAAAGTTAACAGCGAAGACAGAAATTGATGAAGACAGAAGTCTGGCAGATCTAAGTTCAAATACTGGCTTTTTCACTTATAGACCTTGGGTACATTATTTAACATTTCCATTTCTCATTTTTCTCATTTGCAAAATGGGAATAAGTTATAATTTATAGAATTGTTAAGAATAAATGAGTATTTATAAAAGTATTTCAATGATGCTTGCTGTGACAAAATTCTTAGTAGAGCTGTTTTATTGTGGTTTTCATTTGTTTAGTATTTATCCAAGCGCATTGATTCCAAAGTTATTTATTGACCATCCAGAGAAAATGAAGGCAAGCCTATAATGTTAACATTAATAATAATAATAATAAGAAGAAGCATATGTAATACTTCAAAACATTCAAAACACTTTTATTAGTTTATCTCAGTTAAACTTTAAAATAATCCTGTGAAGTGGTTATTATCATCCTCCATTTAATAGATTAGGAAAGTGAAATTTGTGTCCTATGTAAGTTCACACAGCTTTGAAGTGGTCAGAATCAAACAGAGACCCATTTGGCTCCCAATCCTGTGCCCTCTGACTTTACCATGCTGGAACACAGTCTGCTATCACAGAACAAACATCTCACGTGTTTGTAATCTGGGAGGCAACCCTGAAAACCATTGTACATAGTCAATCCTTGCTCAACTTGTAACTCAACTAGCGAGGTAGAAGCCCTGGGTCTTATAAACTATCCCCAGAGTTGCTGATGCCACATCAAAAGCTCAGAAAAAGCTGTCAAAATTTATACAATATGTCTCATATCAAACCATACTTATTTCTTTAGAAATATTGGCTAACATACTAAAAAAGAAAAAAGATAGTTCTTTGTCTTTGCTGTCTCTCAAATAGGTGCAGAAATACAAAAAGCCTTCTAGAAGAAAAAAAGTTACAGAAAAACCCAACAACACTCATTTCGAAATTGCTTCTTTGTCGGTCATAAGGTTTTATTCAGGCTCTCTAATAAGAGAGTGCATCCCAGGCTCTCTAATTTGCATTACTTAAAGTACTACAGTGTGATCTCTACAAACTGCATAATGCACTAAAGAAACAAAATTGGTCAGACTGCAGTTTCATTTCATTGTGTAATAGCTTGTCTTAGAATCAGGGTCCATTAATTTATTCCCAAATTTACCCCGTCTTTGTAATCTAATGTAACTAAACTGATATTTTTGGTCAATGAATATACACTATTTCATTTTGAGAAGCAGAAAGTCATTATTGGATCATGTGATAAAAATATCAATTAAGAAATATAACATATGGTGCTACAAATTGCTTAACAATCGGTGACGAAAGCAAGGTTTTACTGCTGACAGCTGTGGCAGAGTGCAAAGGGATGTATCGCCAGAACTGGTAGGTGTACTGAGCTAACGAGCAGCAGATGCTGGGCAGACAAATATAGATTTTACAGTTGCTTCCATGATTTCAGCAATATTTAATTGTGTGATTAGCACCTCAGCCCTTGTTAACATGCCTTAAAGGCCAAGAAAAATATTCTGATCCAGCATAGGATTCTCTGATTTACAAATTCTATTAGAGGTCTTTTAGTGTTGATGTTTTTTTAATCCACAGACATGTGATTAATTTTTTTTTTTAAATGAGCTGCACATTTGCTAAAAAGAGAACATTTTAATATTCTTTCTCAGTAGCACAGTAAGCAATAATGGGGAATATATGCAGAATGCCAGAACAAGTCTTTGGGTTATGTTTTAAATGTTAAAATGTAAATCTTTTAAATGGCTCCATAAAGCTGATAAAATGAAATGACCGATTCCAGGACTGGGGCAAGGAAGTTACAAGATGAACCTGAAACTCATTGTTGTACCAAAAATTAAGGAAGTGCTCACAAAAAAGAAAAAAAAAATGGAGGCATAAATAAAAACACAGACGCCAGCCTGAAGTGTGTCTGCTTTGGCAATCTGAGACATTTTAATTATCCAAGCAAATAAGGACAGTAATCTCATCAAATAAAATAGGAATCCATGGGTCCACAATGGAGATCGATAAATATGGGAGAGGAAAGGGCTCTGCCTTAGAGTAGAATGACAACTGATAAACACGGAAGGAGTGCTGGAGGTGGAAAATCGTTATTTTGCCTCCATTATAGTAAATATTGGTTTGGGTAAGGGTAATCAATGGATGGATATGAAGGCAGAGGGTAGAGGATGAGTTTGATGAAGAGCAGAATGTTTGCTTGGTTTCGAAGTGTCTCCCCACCGGTTATTTATCAGTTTCAAGGGGGAATTATTAACTATGTAGTGGAGAAATTTTGGTCACATTGACAGGTGACCAAAATTAACATCACCAAGGAGGGCTAGGTGGACATCATGTGTCTCCAGACATGGCACCCTAAAAGGGACACAACATCACTTTTATAGCATTCTGGCCAGGAAGGCATTACCTGAATCTAACTATGAGGAAACATCAGACAAATAAAAATTGAGGATCATCCTATGAAATAACTTGCCTGTATTCTTCAAAATATCAATGTTGTTGGCTGGTGAACTATTCCCGATGATAGAATACAGAGACATGACAACTTCCCACAGTGTATGATCCTAGACTGGTCTTGTGCTGAAGGGAAAAATACTGTATAAGCATTATGAGAAAATTGTCGAAATTGTAATACAGATTATAAGTCTGATAAAACTATTGTATCGATTCTAAATTTACTGAATTTGATAACTGTACTGTAAGTTATTCAAATTTTTCTTACAACTTTTCTATAAATTTGAAACTATTTTAAAATAAAAAGTCTGGAAAAAAGAAAAGAACATGTAAGAAATACATTATTCTGTTCCCATAAATCATAGCATTTTATAATAGATTACGTAGATACATCCATAGAGCAATAGACATTTGCACCTAATTAGCAGAAAACCAAATTTCTTACTGATGTAATTTTTTTAATATAATGGCTTTACTTCCCTGATCATGATCTAATTTATTTTTAATATGTGTGTTCCAACCTTGTTCAGGCCTATCCATCTGCATCCATTCTAATTTCAATTATTTTAACGATTAGTGTTGCAAGTTATCTGTGTAACTGTTTCAATTAATTAAAAAATGGATAATATTGGAAAGCTGGACCACACTTCTAATTAAGTATCCCGGGTTAATGAACTAAGTGCAGTAGGGACGTGGTCCAGCTTTCCAGTATTATTATCAATAGCAGGAAATAAACTCTTTTTTTTTTTTAAGTTAGTATCTGCACTGTATTTACCTATCCTTTTATCTCCTGATGATTGAGAACTAAGCAAGACCATCTATATTGGTGAACAGTT